TAAGCCAGAAAGAGAAAGAAAAATACCGGATGGTTTCACTCATAGCAGGAGTATAATGGACCAGGCGAGAAAATAACAAAAATAATGAACAACTACACACTAGAGACATTTTGCGGGGGTAGAGTGGGGAATGGGATCAAAAATGGGGGGGTGGGGAGGGAAATGCATGGGATTCTGGTGATGGCACATGGGTGACTTGGTGATGGGAAACCCACAGGGACTACAATTGAGATGGGAAAAAAAATGTACAAAATGATGTAAAAATAAACTTTTGTGAAATAAAAAAAAAAATGGAGTCAGAATAAAGAATATCAGTGTCTTATACCATGCACCACTTAGCCTCCACTACCTGCTATACTAAGTTCCACTCTGAGTATTTAAAAGGAAAGTTGACACCAAAGGAGTCATTCAGGAGACAACGAACTGGGAAGGCAAAGTCTTAAAAGTGGGTCAGGAGGAGCGGGGCAAGAGCACAGCATGCTGAGCTGAAGGAGAGGACGCGCGCAGCACGTGGCCTGACGGCATGCTTGGCCAGACTGCGTGAAGGAGGGCTTATACTGGACTCCAGGTGTTCTCATGGGCAGGCTAGAAAATTAAAGGGGGAGGGAAACGTAAGGATTATAACAACCACATTCAACCACCAAGGAGTAGTTTTCAGGAAGCACTGTACCACTGAAGAATCCAAGCGGGCTCGTTCTGCTGGAAGGTAAACAGGACTAGATGGCTTGTAAGATTCTCTCATCCTGAACACCACGGGTCTGTGGTTATGAACACCAAAAGACGAAAACATATCAAAAGATAAAAACCAGATTCTAAGTTCACTAACTCATTAACTGTCTGTAACTCACCTTGAGTAGCAAATACCTGTGACGTTTTAAAAAATACTAAAATTACTCAAGGACATTTCCCAATGTACATAGTTCTTAGTATCTGGTTTCTTGAGCTAACAAACAGATTAGGAAGAAATAACTGTGCAGGCAAGAAATGAGAAATACAAGTAAAGATTACTCTTTTGTGTCATAATTAATTCAGATTCAAATAAACTATGAATAATTTTCCCATCACTCATATTTTGCAGGTGCAGAAGCTATCAAAAAGATGAAATGACCTGTTGAAAGTTACCCAAAGATATCCTGGGTGTTATCTGGAATAATGATACTGTTGGAAAACTCTGGAATATAAATCACCTAATTTATTTCTCCTGGCACTAGCCACATAATAAATCACAAGTTAATAAAAGGAACTCCCAGGTCAGACTTAGTCTTATGTTTTATATATAAATTTAAAGAGACTGGGGTTGGCTTATCTCAAAAAACAGTCTGATCAGCCAAACTGAGTCAAAGTTCAAAATGGAGAGATACTTCACCTCTCTGGAAAAACAGCAGCTCTTGGCAGAGGCTGTGAGGAGTGCTTGGCACTCTCCCACAACTGCCAGATGATGCAACAGATCTGTAATACTGGGCCAGAAGACCGTGAGGTTATAGTAGATATAAATTCTCAACAGGGCATATTTTCCATTCAGACATGCAATCTATAAATTAGACTAAGTAAAACCCTCCCATAATAATTTATTCCTGCTTGCCACAGGTTGAGCACTGAGAAGCTGGCTTGGGAAAGCACCTTGTCTATTGTTCCAGTAGTAATTTCAATGATGCAAACTCAGAAGGATTTAAAACATCCTTCTAAAAGAAGAAAATCTAGTAACTTAAAACAGACGCCAGAAAGTGGCATCTCACTTATTAAGAGAATTCAAGAACTTTCAAGACACTAGACATAAAAGGGACCTCATATTTTCTGTTCATGATTTGTAATTTATCAAATTATCCCTTATAATGGTTTTTTGTGGAAAAGCTGAAATTCTGGCTCAGCTAAAGTCCTCAGCCACAAAAATATTCTAAATACTTTCCCACTTTAGAGCCTTGGATAAATCAATAGTTATGGCAATGTTAGCTGGGAATGTGCTCGTGAGAAATGTGTGCTATGAGTAACCAGTAGCATGATGTTCTTTGCAGACCTGAACATCAGTGGAGCCTCAGGACGGTTGACTAACCTGGTGATGATGTCAAGGGTCGTGACCTGGGGGATCTGAATCTGTTGTGGAGTCAGCCCATGCTGTTCCAGCTGCTTTGGTATCAAGTGCCTGTGGGCGATCTCGATCTTCTCCTCTTGTGTATACCCTGGAAATGAAGTGATCTTGTTTTGTGATGACTTTCAGAGGCTTATGCTTTTTCAATCATAATGCAACCTCAATGCAATCATAATGCTAACCAACAGATCTTGGATTTAGAATCAACTTAAGACTTCAACTAAGATTATAATCAGAAAGAAGAAATTTAAATTCCAAGCAATAATTGTTAAACTTTCCAACTTTTCTACAAATGAAAAAAAAAAAGCATTTATCAAGTAGTCCTTGAAATAATTTTGGTTTTAAATCACTAGCTTTCAGGCTCTCAGGGTCTCTCTGGTGGCAGAAGGGTATCTCTTAGCACTATGAAACTAGCAGCAGCCACTGCTGCCTAAGTTTGCTCCCGGGCCAGGGAGTGACCCACATATCATAACATACCTCCCCTGTCTTGCTCCCTGCTCCTCTCAGCAGGGTATTTCAGTCAATCCATCTGTTCTGCTCCCCACTCTGTCTCTGGTGAATCCTCCAACCCCCCCACATCTCTGGCCTGTACCCCAGTTCTATATGCATAAACAAATAAATCTTTAAAAAAAATCATTACCTCTCAAAGGGGGAAAAAAGCACAGTCAAACCTTAGTGTTAATTAATTATCTCCTTAACTCAAATGTTCTGAAATTTTATTATTCAATAGCAAAATAATACATCTTGTATTTATAAACTGTAAGACAAAATTCCTCCTAAACTAGCCTCCAAGTTTCCAAGCAAAATGAAAAGATGAGCTGATAAGGCATCTTTCCAATAGGAAAAGGAAGCAAACATATCACAAAAGCGAGACAACAGACGAGGCGCCACCACAGGAAGATTGGTGGCGGCTGCAGGACCTGACTCACGGTCACTGTGTCGCCAGGTTTTCTGCCTAATTTGGAGTTCTCCTAGGAACTGGCTGTCATTTCCTACTTAAGCCTTGTATGCATGTACACTGACTTAGATGCTAAGAAATCCAATTATCATTCACTTGATAGTATATATTTCAGGTAAGTATATCAAGGATGTGAACGTTTAGATTCTACTTTATTTTTCATTTTACTAAATTTCTACTGATCATTCTCAGTGAAGTCAGTCAGAAGGAAGAAGAAAATACTGGATGGTTCCACTTACAGGAGGAACAGGGATGGGGAAATTGAACCAAGGGTTAGAGTAGTAAAGACCAAACTTGCAGGCAGACAGCAGGTGAAGTACACAGGGTGGGGGTCAAAACAGGGTGGAAAGACAGGGATCTCGTGACAGAGTTGGGGCGGGAGCTTTATAGGGCGACACCTCAGCTGAGAACTCACTGTGCAAAAATGAACAATGTAAGAAAATAAATTTTCACCAATTAAAAAAAAAAAAATCCCACTGATACTTGACCGCTTTTAGGGGAAAAATAACTCTGAGCTATTAAAATAAGGTGAAAGTGGGGCTCTCCCTGATGACGCTACGAGTTAAAGCTCCACATTATGGAGCTCTCTCAAGCTGCTACAGCAAGAGTTCAATCCCCCACCAGGGAGCTAACCCACATGGCCCGGCAGACCTCTCCTGATCTGCTCGCTGCTCGCCTCCGCAGTGTACTTCAGTACATCTACCTATTTTGCCCCCTACTCTGTCTCTGGTGAATCCTCTCACCCACCACACCTCTGGCCTGTACCCCAGTTCTGTATGAATAAATAAATCTTTAAAAAAAAAATAAAAAGTACAAGATTTTATTTTGCATGCCGCAGTGAAAGGAAAAGACCACCAAAAACAGACAACTACCTGACAGATCCAACTGAAAAGAAAAGGGAAGGCAAAGATAATAAACTTCAGTTTACTCTTCAGGAACTCTCTCAAAAGAATAAAGAATTACATTTCCCTACAGAGGATTAAAAATGACAAACTCTGGCCCTCCCTGGTGGCTCAGTGGGTTAAAGCACAGCACTATGAAGCTTAAGCCACTTCCGCGTGAGTTTGATCCCCGCCTGCCCCAGAGGAGATCCACATGGCCTGGCAGACCTCTCCTGCTGGCCCGCTGCTCCCCTCAGCAGTGTACTTCATCGATCTGCCTGTTCTGCTCCCCACTCTGTTACTGGTGAATCCTCTCACCCTCCACATCTCTGGCCTGTACCCCAGTTCTGTATGAATAAATAAATAAATCTTTAAAAAAAAAATGTCAAACTCTGATAGACTGGCAGCTAAATTGACCATATGAAGATCTATTTTTTGTTTTTGGATGCACTGATGAAATACCTTTTTCTTTAACTTGAAAACTACTTCAAAGAAGAGTTCCTCCTTTTCCAGAAAAAGTCAGTCTTTAAGTTAAATTTGACAGTGTTAAATAAAGTAGATTCTTAATGTCTTATAAAAAATGCTCATATGAGTACCCCTCCACTTTTTGGAAGTTTGAAACTCCCAAAGTTCTCGCTTTTATGAAAGACCGATGCTAGTACTTATTTTCACTAACTATAAGAAATAGGAACAAGATAGTTTTTAGGATAAAAGGTGAAAAGCAAAAGTAACATTCAATGTTTTGTGAGAGCCACCTTGACGCAGCTGGCCTGCACAGTGGTGTGGCCTGGCCCCGGCAACTCCCTCCCTAGTTACCATGTCACTCCTGCTTTTACCACAGGTCAGTGTTAGTTTAGTTTTTATGTGTCACAGGTTATTTTTTCAGTCTGGGAATGCTAAAATTTTTTTCTCATGTAAATGAACAGTAATTGTTCTTTTACTTAGTCATTTTGGCTCTGGGATTGCGGGGAACCTGTATTCTTATCTGCGATAGAAAAGTTTTGTTGTTCCACATTTAGGATCTACATACAAGATGGCTTCTATTCCAGAATTAAAACTTTTGAAAATTATAAATTGCCACATTAACTTTTTCACTCCAAACCCCGGTATGAGCAATGTTAAAGGGTTACGCTCCGAAGGGCGAGAATTATCCAGGAATGACTTCAAGGCCCAGTACCTGGCACCTGAATGACCTCCATTCTGTCCAGCAAGGCAGGAGGAATAGTAGCAGTGGTGTTGGCAGTTGCAATAAAAAGAACTTGGGAAAGGTCGAAGGCCACATTCAGATAATGATCTGTGAAGTTATGGTTTTGTTCAGGATCCAACACCTATGGGAGGAAAACAAACATTTGAACAAATTCAGTATTTACAATATAAAGCTGTCAGTTAAAACACACATCATGTATTAGAGCAAGATTATTTCTGCTTAATATAGTTAGTTAGGGAAATATCGGGATGACGCTAACATCTAAGCATCATTCTTTGTATTGCCCACATTCTAAATACTTCAAAAATAACAAAAAACATGTTCAATGTCAAATTTTTGAAAATACAGAAAAGTACAAAGATGCAAAAATTACCCTTTTAAGCTCTGTTCTTAAATCTGTTTATTAATGACTCTTCTGTGGCCATAAAAAAGTTACCTATCTTGCAGAACCAGTTTCTGTCCTGGTAACACACCCAATATTAACTGCATGGGAATATAAGGTAAACGTGTTGTTAAGCATTTCTTGGGTAACTGGTAAAATGAAAATTCGTGCTTTCCTCTTAAAATATCAAAAAACCCTGCATAAAGATTTTAACTGAAAGGGAAGTTCCAAACAAGAGTAAATTACTACAAAATTACCATGACATTATGATACATGTAGCACAAGGAAAAATTCACTTTACAATATCTTAAAGTTTATAACGAGCAAATACCAATCTCCTAACATTTTAATTGGACAAATTGGATGGTTTTCCCACTCGATTCTTAGAAGCCTGTCTATTAAGGAGACTGTACCTCAGCCAAGGGCGGAGATGCTGAAGTGTAAGCACTCATGAGGGCGGGCGGGTGGGGGCTGCCTGCAGGTTCTATTTTTATGGGCCGTCACTCCCGCTTGTCTGGACTGACACAGACCGCCACAGAGACTTGACATGCATATTCAAAAGGAGGTAAAATGGCTAAATACTTAATCACTTTTACTATACAACTAGCTTTTCCTTGCTTTTGATTTCCTTTCAAAAGTAATATATTAAAAAAAAAATCTACAAGCCTTAATTCAAAGTCCTTCATGCTGAACCTTGAATTGAATAAGCTTTCATTATTATTGGAAACTCAGTATAAAAATGTAATTCCCATAAAATTTTCTAATATACTTTTACAAGACTTAATGAATAATGCTTTAAAAATAAGCCAGTATTAAGTTATTAAAAACAATTCTAGTTGTGTCCAGTATAGAAAGCTGTTCATCTGTGTATAGAAAATATGGCAATCTTCATTTAAGCCCATATCGAAATGAAATTCAGTGACTTGATTAAATTTCATACATAGATGATGAATATGTTTTAGAAATGGCTGTCAGACCTGTCTCCTTCCCTTAAAAAAAAATTTTTTTTTTAAGATTTATGCATACAGAGCTGGGGTACAGGCCAGAGGTGTAGGGACAGTGAGAAGATTCACCAGAGACAGAGTGGGGAGCAGAACTGGCCGACTGCTGAGGGGAGCAGTGGGCGGGTCAGGAGAAGTCTGCCACGCCATGTGGATCACCTCCGGGGTGGGGATCAAACTCATGCTGAAGTGGCTTTAGCTTCGTAGTGCTGTGCTTTAAAAACCGGCTGCACCACCAGGGAGGGCCCCCCTTAAAAATTTTAATACACTAGGATTTTTGAAAAAACTAATTAACAAGGCAGTGTCTCTGAACTATGGATGAGATCTTTTAAGATGCATCACAGGACATGTAGGTTCTGCAGAGAAAAAATTAGTGATGCTCAATTTGCCTGCCTCTTCTATTTAGAAAACACAAAAGGTGCATCCTTTTAAAAATATATGTACATCTATTTTTTTCTTTCTTTCTTTTTTGCTATAACCTTGGGGCACAATGTTTTCTGTGTACTAGGCTCTCCGCCCTCAGGTGCTGTTACCACATGGCAGCCACCAACAAGACACCCACTACCCCCCCCCCCAGTGCATGTGCCCTTCCCCTCCCCTTGCAAAGGGACCCAGAATTTAAATATCAGAAATCTGACCACAAAAACCCTGCCAAATAAAGTTTCCAGTTACTACTACTTGGTAGAAATCCTAAGGTAAACTGGCAAATCCTGGAGGAACGAGATTTACAGTAAGCAAACTACTACCTTTTACCCAGGCTTTAGAGTCAGGACTCCCACAGTCCAACTAACCACACATGGGAGCTGCTTTTAAGACTCACTTAAACTGTTTTATTCTCTTCTCAATTACAAGGTTTTTCTACATCAATCTTAAGACTGTATTTCCTATCCACATAGTATGACTGGGAATGGAAAGAGCTGTACATGACTCAAAATGACCAGGAAGGGAGGGAGAGAGAATGGAAGGAGGAGAAGAAAGCCTGGTTACCAGAGGACAATCACCAAAGTGGGTGCTGAGCTTACATGGTTAGGATGTTTTTTTTACTTTTGCTATGGCAAATTCACAACAATGCTATGGCATTTTCACAACAAAAAAGCGATAGATAAATGAATAAGTAAATAAAGTAACACAAGCGATACTGAATCAGCAATAGAAACTAAATCAGCAATAGGAGAAATGAGAAAAATGTCTAAAACACAGAAGAAAAAAGCCAGTAAGGAGATTAATGGGATATGGAAAAGCTAAAAGATGTTACTTTATAGATAACTCAGAAAACAAAAGAAATTAACAAATGTAAAAGAGTGTAATAAAGGAAGTAACAAAGAAAATATTCTAGAAGATCCAACACTACAGAATGAAAAGCATTAGAATCGCCCTATATAACAACAGAACATTATTAGAGTAATACCTGTAAAATTTTCACACAAGATTATGACCAATTTAAAATATTTTAAAAATCTTTAATAAGTATAATTAAACATAACAAAATAAACACCATGAGACACCAACTGTGACTTCATTTGTATTTATATGGTTAGCCAGTGGTCAGTTACAAAAATGGAAGATTTAAAATGACCCTCCCACAGGGCAAGTAGAAAATATTTGACCATCTATTATTTTTAAGTCAAACTGTCAGAAGCCAAAGTCAGAATTCTGCAAGCCACAGGAGAAAACAGTTCTCGTTAAGTATGGAGATTATCGGCTGACTTCACATTAGAACCCACGTAGCTGATAAGTGGTATAAGAAAGTGAAAATGCTCAAAAATAAAACAAGAAGCACCAACCAAGAACCTATATCTAATAAAACTATCCTTCAAAAATGAAAAGTTAAGACATTCCCAGATAAACACTGGGTGAATCTGTAGCTGGCAGAATAGATGACAAGAAATTTAAAAGGCTGAAATGAAAGGACACCAACTGTATTCACACAGAAATACAGAACCCAGAAAAGGAGTCACACTGGCAAATACAAAAAATAGTGCTAAACACATTTTGGCAATTCTTTCCTTTTTTAAAAAAGATTTATTTATTTATGCATACAAAAACAAGGGTACAGGCCAGAGGTGGGGGTGGGGTGGGTAGGTGAGAGGATTCACCAGAGAGGGGGAGCAGAACAGGCTGGCTGACTGAAACACACTGCTGAGGGGAGCAGCAGGAGGGTCAAGGGAGGCCTGCCACACCATGTGGGTCACCTCCCTGGCCAGGGATCGAACTCACGCAGCAGCAGCTGCGAACAGCTTCATACTGCTGTGCTTCAACCCTTGCACTACCAGGGAGGTCTACCCCAATTTTGGTAATTCTTTTCTTGTACCGAATTCAAGACTTCATGAATTAGTAATCATAGCTAATCCTCATTATGTTAGATTTCACTTTTACAAATTTGCCTACTTGCTAGGATTTATTTATAATTTCAAAATCAGTATTTGTGACACAACTGGATCATTTTCAGACAAGGGTAAATGGGTAAGTAAGCATATCACCCCAGATGCATTTCTCCAGTGAAGGTCAAATAAGATGAAACTCTGCCTTTTCATCTTATCTCTTATACTCTAAACAAACATCCTTCTGATGATATAGAAAACTTTTATTTTTATGCTTTTAACTGTGATTTTGCTGTTTTAAAATGCTCCCAAAGGCAGTGATGAAGTGCTGTCTCAAGTTCCTAAGTGCAAAGTTGTGGTGGGCCTTATGAAGGAAATGCGCATTAGATAAGTCATCCGGGCATGACATCTGCTGCTGACAGTCATGACTTAGTGTCCACGGGTAGACACTAAGTACATCAACTCTAAACAGAGCGCAAGTAAGACAAGGTTATATGATGACATGGTTATGGACTGGTTTGTAGGAATCTAACTGGGTTTCCCTAGGAGTATCTCAGTATTTGCTGTAATTTTAACAGAATATAATTACAATGAATAATGAGAATCAACTGTATATTACAGTGTGGATGGGCTTACAGTGTATAGAAATACATTCTGGGTGGCAGTAGCAGCACACAGGCAGCGAACGGGGGGGCTTATTAAAACCAAATTTCTACATACTATTTGTTAAGGCTAATTTTGTGTCAACTTAGAGGTTGTTCTCCATAATGTGCATGCGTCTTACTCAATCCACTGAAGTCCTTTACAGAACAAAAAGGATGTCTTGCCCCAACAAGAGAAAAATCTGCCAGCAAACTGCACTTGGATTCATCTCTCCAGGGTCTTGAGTCTACAGCCTCATACTGCAGACTCGGACTTCTCAGCCCCCACACACTGCCGGATGAGTCAATTCCTCATAATAGATACCTTTACATGCCTGTGTCTAGGTGTCTATCTAGATGTCCAGTTATTTACATATCTGAATCTACAGATCATCTATACATATTTATCTACACATCCGTATATTTAATAATAGGTATAACATAATTCAGTATATTCATTCATAATATTATATATACTTTTGTAGTAAAACTAGGAAAAGATTAACTAGAAAGGAGCCTTGAACGATACATCAGTTAGACACAGCAAACATCTAGAAAATAATCCATCCAACAGCAGCACTATATTCTTTTCAAGTGTACACACAACAGACTCTAAGTGAGATCATTCACCGAACATCTGAATTTCAAAGGGCTGAAATGATACAAGTACAATCTCCAAACTTAATATGGTGAAATCAGAAATGAGTAACAAGTGCTAAGACACATCACTAATCCTTAGTAAAATGCAAATTAAAAGCACAATGAAATAAAACAACACATCCACCAGAAAAACTAAATGACAAAAAATTTGCACATATCAAATACAATGAAAATAGAGAGCAACAGCAGCTTGTGTGAACCACTAGTGGGAAACAACGGGTGATTTCCTAAAAGGTTATATATACATGCCTACTCTTACATTTTGATAAAGAGAAATAACTGTCCACATAAACACATAAGTGTTAATAGTAGATTTATTTGTGATAGCTGAAAAATCTGGATATTCAGGTGCACATCAAAAGGTGAATGGATACATTAACGATTTCCCTTGTTACTTTCAACGTTTTCTCTTCTTTTGTCTTTCATCATTTTTACTCTGACAGCTGATTTTGGGTTTATCTTTGAATTTATCGCAGGTGAAATACATTGAACTTCCTGGATGCTTTAGTTTATGCTTGTCATCAAATGTGACATTTCATTAACTCTCCAGAGATGATTTCTGCCCCCATCTCCCTCTCTTTTCCTGTGATGCCTCTATTGGTGCGTTTACTGGTATTTCCTTCATGAGCTGTTCCTTGTACTCCTTTTTATCTGGTCTTCAGGCAACACAAGCTCTATCAACCTATCTTCCAATTCACTGATAAGTTCAAGTATGAAATGATATTCAAATCTGCTTATGCCACCTCGTAAGTTTTTCATTTTAGCAGTGAAACTTCTGCTTAGTATCATGATTATAGTATAAATTCATGATTTATACATGTCAAAATTCACCAAATTGTGTAATTTATATATAACCACTTTACTATGGCTGTCAATTATACTTCACTAAAGCTATAAAAATAAATCAGTAAAATGTAGTTAATGAATTTCTCTCACAGGTGAGTGGCCTTGGTTTAATCAGCAGCAGTCACCCTCCACCCCCCCAAGTGCCCATCTTCATTTGTGACTGCCCCAAACTAGCACACATTTTGTAGAACTCACACAGATTTTCATTTTTGGAAGAAAAGGAGAATCATCACTATAAAATGGATTTCTCTAGAATGTTATGAATATGTTCTATTCTTTATGCAAAAATAATTATAAATAAGTTACTAAATATTTCAAAAACCACTTGCTCCTGAAAACCTGGGATACAGAAGCTAAGGCCAATTCATAATGAATTTCATAATAATGTGTTAGTGAAAAACTATTTTTCAGTTTATTCTTTCTCAACTTACAATCTACTGTTTATACTTCTCTGAGGTATTTATGTGTTCTTATTCCACCTCTGAATTCAGTGGTGCAAGTCACTGTGGAGACAAGGGTGAGGATGTGGCTGAGTTTGTCCTACACACCCCTGAGGATGGCAGGAGAGGAAACCAAAGCCTTGGGATTACCCAGCTACAAAACCAGAGTTCTTCTAATGCAAATCAACATTAATTCTTATGTAATTTAGCCACAAAATCAAAGCACCATCAAACTCTAATAGTAAGAGTGTTAAATAGGTAGGGATGAGAAATAACAATTTTAGTTGAAAATACAGTTAAGTGCAGAAGTACAGTGGGTAGTCAAGGAGGCTGTGGGTGCACACATGTGCTGGGGTCCCGTGAGTAGGTAACTAAAGAAGAAGAGAAAATATGGAGTAGGGCATGAAAAAGAGAAGCAAAGGTTAACAGAGATATTAAAACATTATTTGTGTAATTTGCAAACGAGTTGGGCACAGGCAACAGAGGCTGCTAGAACTGAAAAGTAATTAGTGGGTTTAATTTCCCTACTTTGACTTAGGAGAGGATTCAGCAGCACTCATTCTCTAACTACAAAGGCTGAGCGACGCAGGCCAAGTATTGGAGGCACTTTTACCCTCTATGATTTCAGACTTTATATAGCAAATACAGTACATGGCGTGATAGAAAATTAAGGTGATACCCTGGCCCTCAAGTTTTTAATTTATTAAAAGATGGTACAGGAGTATTTCTCAAGTCCCCTTTCTTTGAGACTCTTTGTATAGTTATATAACTTATATTAGAAGATTACACATCGATTTGATTTAAATAGTATAATATACTATTGATCTAACTACTAACCAGATGTCAATCTAATTAATAACTTCAGTTTTAAAGAGGCAAGCTTACTATGTCTAAACTGTCTACTTTGGGGCTTAAGCTTCTTAGTACAGTGCTTTAACCCGCTGCGCCACCAGAGAGGGCCCGAAATATCATGCATTTTATTGGACCATTCACACAAAAGCGTATCCATGACATACAGTCATACTTAACAAAGATCTACAGGATAAGTAAAGAACTGTGTGATTTTCTTTTGAGTCTAGTAAGTACATAACAGGACTTTTCTTGTAACTAACATTCCTTTCTTAAAAAGACTTGACCAAATCTTACTGTCTACCAAAATTTGTTTACCAAATAGTTGGTTTCATTTTTACATTATTCCAATAAATTTTCAAAAAAGATCACCTAAATTTTAAGTAAATATACTTTTGTCGATGACTAGTGTAGCCAGAAATACATTCCATTTTATATAAGCAATAATTTTCATAGAAGCTGAAGGAAATGGGCATTAAGTCCTCAGATTTAAATATGGACACACAAACAAAAATTAAAACACATCTAATAAAAGACTAATAGACTAACAAAAGACAGAAGCCAGGAAAAAGTAAAGAAATAATCTACTGGTATCTTTTCACAGATATAAAACATATTACATATCATAATGTAAGGAGATAGTATAAAAAGACTACACAGAGAAGTTAAAAAGTTCTTTGAAATGATAAACTCATACAAAAAGCTGAAAGATCAAAATAGCAGTACAGCCACAGTATTTTGAGAATAGAGCAGATCAACTAAAATTGAAGAGGACAAAGGACAGAAGAGGAAATGAGGGGTCGCAAGGGAAAAAGAGACTTACTGGATGTGTTTTTTGCAATAATTTTAAAGAATTACTGCTCTCTATAAACAATAAGCACCCATACAATTTTGTTAAACTGTTTGACAGATAACAGGAAAACAAAACAAATGAAGGAAATGCTACAAAAAGGCAGGGAAATGAAATCTGTTCAGATATTTTAACTTAAATATCAAATTGCTTCTCGTCCCATTCCCCACCCCAAGTATTATCATTCACACTCAATGCAGAAAGGGAATTTTCTGGATCTTACCTCAAGCAGAGCTGCCGCAGGATCGCCCTGCAGACTCTTTCCTAGCTTGTCAACCTCATCTAGCAGGAAGACTGGGTTGTTGACCCCGACGGTCTTCAGGCCGTTGATGATGCGGCCAGGCATACTGCCCACGTAGGTGCGCCTGCAGAGACAGCAGTTGGCGGCTGTGAGAAGCTGGGGCAGCTTGCATTGTTCAGAAATCAACACACAGGGCCGGGAAATGTCTGCTTTTGCATAATTCTGCAAAGAGGTATTACAGATTTAAAAAGCCCGATGGCATTCAATTCTTACTCTTTCATCCTGATTGACTTGTGATACTGGAAGAACTGTGTCCATTTTTTGCTACTTAGTGAAAATGAAAAAAATGACACTTAAGTCGCACAGTTATGGTTCTTATTCTTCAGGATTCTAAACTGTCAGCAAATGTGGTAAAATGTTAGCAGGCTAAACAGTGAGTGCTGCATACTAGTAATATCATTACTTCCTGAAAGGCTGGAATATTTCACTTTAGTAGAAAACTGAACAAAAATGAATGCACAATGTCTAAAGGAGCCTATGAAATTGCTTTTTAAGCTTCTCAGGGGTTTTCAGAGCACCCTCCACCCCAGCACAATCACCTGTTAACATTCTGCAGTAGTTGCTTCAGGGCCAGGTAAGTCATCAGCAAATTCACGAAGGGAATCAAAATTAGTTCAAAGGGCTACTCAAAATAGAGATGGCACAAAAAAAAGGGTAGGAAAAATCCCAAAATGTCTTTTATTTTTAGAGATGATCATTTGTTACTAATTGTGGCAAGAGGTCCTGGGAGTAACAACATTTTATCAAAATTCTACTCATTCTGGTCTTTTGAAGAAAACTGTGGTCATCCTTATACACCTAAATAGAAAACCAAAATTTTTACTGCTGTGCATTAAAGTGTTAGTGTTTTATCATATCTGAACAAGAATCAATCCCTAATTATGACGGATGCAGTGTAGCACGAAATAAAAACAAATGTTTGTCAGACCAAACAAGTGCCTTTCTAAAAACCCAGCAGAACCTGAGTAACAGTTCCCTAACTCTGATGACAACCTTGCTGCCTGGGCAGGCATCATGGGGTGACTGCATCAGACTGCTGCTCAGGGACATGTCCGCAGAAGCCACCTCTCTCCCTCTGTGCGAGGCTGACTGGGGCTCTGGGCCTAAACTCTGCCACATGACTGGTCTAAAGCAGGACAGGACACAATGACCTTTGGAAACACCAAAAGCCATCTATCTTAATATTTTTTATTGTGGGGTAGCGCAGTGGGTTAAAGCACAACACAAAGAAGCTAAAGCCACTTCAGCACAAGTTTGATCCCCACTCTGGAGGTGACCCACATAGTGCGGCAGACCTCTCCTGACCCACACTCTGCTCCCCTCAGCAGTGTACTTCGTCAATTGGCCTGTTCTGCGACCCACTCTGTCTCTGGTAAGTCCTCTCACTGTCCCTGCACCTCTGGTTTGTACTCCAGTTCTGTGTGCATAAATAAATAAATCTTAAAAAAAAAAAAATACCGTGGGAATGGCTTTTGTCCAGGGATGGTGACCAAGGCTCTGGGAGCAGACACAATAAAAGTTGTCCTATTGTAAGAGGAGTTAGCAAAGTCAGGTTTTCAGAATGGAATACAAGAATCACAAGAGTCGACAATTAGTTAATTCTCTGAAACTGTCCAAGAAAACTTATAGATTTGCCATTCTCTGATTCTAAAGAGCAGTAGGGAAGGGGTTAGAATTTTAAAACTTCAGTCTTTAGAAACCAGCTCTTTCTGTATTCATTTCTTTCCCTTTTCTTACTGTTTTTGATAGGTAGGCCTCAGTAATAGGAAATACAATTCCAGACTTCAAGTCATGAAGAGAAAATATGCTAGGCTGGGTTTCCTTTGTGAAGAAAGGAAAGCTAGATCTAGTCACTGTACACAAACAATTCCTCCTCAACTGTCTATTGCTTTGCAGAACCTAGAGAAGAAGGCCTGATCTCCTCAGCCTGGAATTCAAGGCTCATCACAACTCCCCTCCACAGGTTTCCTAACTCGCTGCCATTCTCTTCTCCCCTTCTACAATCGCCAAGACCCTACTGACCCTGCACTTAGCTTTTCCCTTTGTTAATAGGGCACTGTCTCTTTCCCAATCTTCCTGTCTATGGAAATCCAAGCAATTCTGAGGCACTTCTTCTGACCTCCTCTCACAAGTGATCTTCCCCAAACACCACATCTACCGGCCCTTACTTCGTCTGACGCACACTAATAACCCAGTTTTCATTCACGGGTATATGCCCAGTGTAGAGCCTCCTCTAAAAAGTCAGTGAGCACTCTGGTGACAGAAAGTGAGTCTTGTTATGAAGTAGGTACTGGAGAGAGCTGCTAAGGTTATTCCCCAAACTCAAGCACGCCAGAACCACCAAGCCAGCACCCAAGCATCTTTCTATCTGAGCCTCCTAACAGTCAGACAAGTCTGTGAATGTGGCTTTGGACAAATTACCTGACCTAAGCTCCAGTTTCCTCTCTGGTAAAATGGCGGTAGTAGTGCCACACTCATGGATTACTGAGGATTCTGAGAGCTCAGTGTAAGTTACTACCTGGCACACAGCAAGCTTCTGGAAGATGTTAATGTTAGCTGTTAAGAGAACAGCTAAGGGAAGCAACTCTCATCTTCTCATAGTTCCCCATACCCCAGGGATGTTCTTACTATTCCTCACTCTCATTCAACATCCTGCAAGCACTAGTATAATCAAAGCTACTTAAGTCAAAACACAGACCACCACGACCAGAGCCTGTGAGGAGCTCACGTGAAGCAGCTTCCCTATACTGTTCTTGTCTTGTGCCAGGAGACACAGCAGTGTGCCACTGATGAAGACACAAAATGTGCTTTGTGTGAATCTTTGGGCAAAATGCAGCTATACACAAAATAAAAATGTTCTCTTTGAACATCAAAACAATGCAACCTATTTTTTAATAACAAATTGGCATACCACAATATCCTCCAGAGAAACTACCTAAGTAAGAAATAAATGAGACAGTAGCCTTTGATAAAATATTCTGGTTTTGAAGGCAAAAGAATTTGCTTTTTCTAATGTTCTTTCAGAAAGCAATAGCACTACACAGGAAAGTTTGCATAGAAGATCTCACTCCAATTACTTAGTCCACCAAAACACATGTCTACCTACTTTTTCTCATATTCAAAGCACTCAAGTTCATATTTTTCATAATTTCTGGTGGCAATTCATAGGCTTGTCAGGACTACCCAACTAGTGTAAAAGATGCACAAAAACAAAAGTGTTTATATAACTCAAAATTTTAAGACTATACAATAGCATAATTTCATTTTCCAAGTCTGGTTTTATACTTCAAAACATAACTACCAAGGATGAACACCACGTACTGACAGCCCTGCGGGACTCAACCATTCCAGGGCACTGCCTCGTCCTCAGACGCCGTCCAACCTACTGCTCCCCAAGCGGCTGGTCAGCCTGCTGTGGCCAGACACCTACACACAGGAACGAGATGCGCCTTCATGCCCCTGCTTCCCAGCACGTGGCGAGGGAGGTAGACAGGCCTTCCTCTGTGCCTATTCAGCTACGAACTCTTATGGGCAATCTATGAAAATGTTGTTTAAAAGAATTTAAAATATAAAAACACTTATGGCATAATGTTAATGTTAAGTTTACAAATTCGTTGCGTCTAAACAAAAAAGGGCAAAAGCTGTCCAAAGAAAAATTTGGCAGGAAATAAAATGTTACAAGTAATTACCTTTGTATGATAGAAAAACTCGATCTTTCTAATTTTCCAAATTTGCAACCATGGCAGTCTATTTCTCTCAAGTTGAAAAAGTAGTAAGTCTTAAAAGAGATCTTAATAACCTCAAGAAGAAAAATAGTCTTTAAGGAACTAAAAACAGTTCTTAATACAGCATGTCTACACAAATCATTGTAATTATAGCAGTCATTCCTAAATCTTTATATACACTCACTTGTATGGATTTCCAAAAAGTAATTATGTCTTAGTCCTAGTTGACTTCACAGAGCACTAAGAGAGTGCACACCATTTTTAGCGTTGTGTTAAACACTATGGACTGATACAAAAGAACACAAGCTATACAATAAAATAACCCAGTCTACAAAGCTTGGGCTTTTATATATTTGTTTCATCTCTATAGTTATATATTAGAAATGCCAGAGGCCTCTGTAACTTAACTATTAAAAAGGCACATCAGATAGTAAGTGCTCAGTTTTGAGGGGAGTAAGATCAGAACTGACTGCATTTACATTAATGGAGGAAGCCATGGTTGGGTCTTAAAGCAAACCTAAGGTTTAGAGAGGAAAAGCAAGGCTACATGCAAATACAGGGTTGACAGTGAGCAAGCTATGAGGTGTCTGGCACACTATGCTTAAAAGAAAAAAAAAATGAGCTTGCCACTCCAGTTTTTTCCCTTGTAGAGACTAATAATTAAACTTACTTGTTTTACTAAGTAGTTTATTCAACGTTAGCTGGAAAATTATAACATCACTATGAAAATTTATCAGTATTGAGATTTTTCTTCTCATTTTGCTTGAAAACTGAACCAAAGCTTTCTTGCAATGACAATTATCTGAACAAACAGCTGATAAAATCTTTGGTATTAAAGAGTTAAAACCAGTGAGAAATATCAGAACAATAAGTCACTAGGGAACAGTTAATGAAAAACAGATCATCATGCAAACATGATTTCACCTAACTTTAAGTATTTAATATTTAATCTCTATGAACTGATTAAATGACTTAAAATATAATATTTAAATATAACATTATAAAATGTAAAAACCAAGAGAAGGAAATGGTATTTTAATGGTTTGTGAAAGTGGAGAAAAATTAAAACAAAGATAAACCCAATGGAGAACGAAAAGACTGGAAAATTGGAGCATAAACATCACTATTCTTTCTAGAAGTTACTCAAAACAAAATCAGTTTTGGATCCGATTTAGTCCAGATCACTATTATCTTCCTACTTTAAGGTTTAAATGTAAACCAGCCTTTCCTTTTCCTGTCCATTTCCCACCCCATCATTTAGCTCTCTACATGTCTTTAAAATCAAGTTCCATCCCATGACATCTTCCATTGCATAAACACATACTTGAAACAAAAGTCTAGCGATCCTACATGAGAAAACAGGGAAAGTGAGTGACAAAATCTAGAGAATATGCAGGAAGATAAGACAAAGCTGCCCTGTTTTCCCTTTGCTATTTAAGATGACAGAACACTGGTGCCTACTTAGAGCTGAGGAAAAACAAAATTTTGCATGAACTCCATTGTGAGAATGTGACCAGACTTAAATGCCAAGACCTGGGCGTTTCCAAAATGCCTCAACTGTCACATGAACCCACTGTCCCCGTAAGCTCCACCCCGTGGCTGTGCTAAGTCCTCTTGCTGTTCTTTCTCTCCTCTAGTTCTCCTCTAACAAATAACTGGGACACACGTGCATATCGTCCCCTCAACCTCTTCCCTTGTTAACAGTCACACTCCACATGCTTCGAAACAGGTTTCCAAAAGGAAAGAAAATTTCTCAAGGCTTTGACTGTTTAGTAGGTAGGTGGCCAAAAAGCCTCCAGTAGTATGAGGACAGGTTGTTTTATGTTAAATGAGACACTGGGCACAGTAATGGCTAGGGAACAGCCAGTTACAGCAAGATGTTTCCAGAATCACACTTACTAGAATGATTCACAAATAAATATAGACATCTATTTGGCAACAATCACTCTATATAGCCTACATTAGTAAAAAGCTTAGATTAAGCTATATTCAGGAAACTACACAAGCTCCATTTACAAAGATGCATAAATTCCTATTTTCTATACATTCCAATCTACATTAAAATGAGAAAGAAGACTTACTCCAAGGCTGTTCCAAGAATAATGATGCTAATTTCTTTACAAAAGCAAACTACAGCCTCTAGTGGTGCCTGTGAGAATTAAGAAGTCTCCTCAACAAAAATATCTTTTGAAATTTCCAGAGAGAATGACGTAAATTGCTCATTTATTAAAATCTGGGAAAGATTTTTCTTCACTGCCTAACAATTGTAATTAAGCAAATAAAAGCTAGCAAGAAGGGAACCATTTGTCATAGTTTTGGAGTTTCCCATCCCATCTAAGGCTAGAGATCTTGTGAATGAGGCAAATGAAGTAAGATGTTATAAAATAGTCATTCCCCCCCCTCACTCCAAGGGTAATCCATCACCTCCAAACTGTACATATGCATTCAAATTACTCTTGGTCACTGGCAGCTGCTCACTGCTTGGGTGGGGGTGCTGGCCAATGCCTTCATTTATAATTTGGACTGCTTTAACAACTTTAAAGATTGAGGGTTGAGCTGGAGGATAAGATGTTAAAGCTTCAGTTTTGTTACTTTCTACTAGAAGTTAAGTGTTTCTGCAAAAAAAATTTTCTTACTTGAGATATGCTACACAGTTTCAACATACAACACTATTATACACAGTTGTGGTTTAATGTTTTATATGCAGTTGTGTTTAATGTTCTTCACTTTAAAACACTCTTTAAAACACGACAAGTATGTTTTCTCATAAAGTATAAGTGCTATGAGACCCTTAAACCATGAAAGAGAGGGTTAAGCTTTCCGGAGGCCCTTCCAACTCAAGCACCGTAGATCAGAAAACAAAACAAAAAACATTAACAGGAGTTCTGAGTCAAATTTTTATAAAAAAAAAAAAAGTCTGCAAAAAAAACAAGGATCTGCCTTAAGAATTAATCTAATCTTTCTCATTACTCATTATTCAACATATCCTCTTACAAGGAACTTTAAACACAAGCAGGACAAATTTGTTATCGAAGATGAGTCATTATTTATGAAATGCTACTAGGCGAAAAAATAAGTGTGAGGATAAAACACCTAACCGTAAGCCACTTATAATTCTAATTCAAATAAGACTGCAGGAAAGCGGAGGCACAGACTCACTCTTCATTGTCGGTGTGGTCAAGATTAGCCTGGTTACACTGTGAAGGTGGAGGCGCTGGGCTCACTAACAAGTACAGTGTAAGTCCTTCCATTCAGGAGACCACAGAGTGACCCGAGAAAAAGGTAAGTATTATGCCTCAGCCTTTGGGGGTTCCAGTCAACTGAAAAGGGAAGAGACTCAGAGACTAAACGGAGAGCCTTATACCTGTGTCCTCGGATGTCAGACTGGTCGCACACCCCTCCAAGTGCAATCCTGTGGAACTCTCGCCCTAGTGTCTTGGCCACTGATCTCCCCACACTCGTTTTACCAACGCCAGGAGGGCCGACGAAGCAGAGAATGGGGCCCTTCAGGTTGTTTTTCAGCTGTCTGACAGCCAAATATTCCAGTACCCTTTTCTTCAATTTTTCCATGGCATAATGATCATTATCCAGAAGAATTCGGGCTGCTCGAATGTCCAGACGATCTGTCAAATAACCCAACAGAAATAATCTGAGCACATAAATTTTTTAAAGAAGAACCTCTTTCAAGCCTGGCAAGAACCAAAATCTTTTCTAGGAAAAAGATATGATAAGACTTGAATCCTTCTAAACAAGTCCTTAAGGAGACTTAGTTTTTCTGCTTAAGAAGATTCAGTACTGGGCCTCCTTGGTAGCCTAGGGGTTATGTCTCAGTGCTTTCACTGCAGGAGCCTGCGCCCCATCCCCAGGCAGGGAGCTGACCCAGAAGGCCAGGAGATCTCTCCTGACTCACCTGCTGCACCCCTCAACAGTGTACTTTGTCAATCTGCCTGCTCTGCTCCTCACTGTCTCTTGTGAATCCTCTCACCCCAACCCCCAACCTCTGGCCTATACCCCAGTTCTTGTATACACAGATAAATAAGTGAATCTTTAAAAAAGAAAAAATTTGGTATTTCCAGAACTACTTGGCACCACACAATTAAGAGCTCAAGGAATTAACTCATGTATTTCAGTTATAATTATTTTCTAGGTACGCATTGTTTCTATGGAGATGTAATTTCTCCATATTCTGTTTGTGCTAGCATTTGCTTTTTTTCTAAGTGTTTTTTTTTTTTCCATATTTATTTATTCATACAGAACTGGGGTACTGGCCAGAGGAACAGGGCAGTGAGAAGATTCACCAGGGACAGAGTGGGGAGCAGAACAGGCAGACTGATGAAGTTCACGGCTAAAGGGAGCAGCAGGCAGGCCAGGAGAGGTCTGCTGCACCATGTGGGTCACCTCTGGGGCTGGGGATTGAACTCACACTGAGGTGACTGCAGCTTGCTTGCAATGCTGCGATTTAACCCACTGCGCCACCAAGGAGGACCTTAAGTGTTTTTTATTACAGAATATGTGATCACTCCAGAAAACTCTGACACTAAAAAAAAAAAAGGCAAGTCACCCATAATCTCATGCTTCCCCGGCAACATTATTGCTCCCCTTCAGGCTGTGTGTGTGTGTGTGTGCACAAGGGTACACTTGCACACTAAGTGTGTACTTAACACACTTGTTTTTAAAGATAGGATCATATGAGACCTTCAGATTTTGTACACTGCTTTTCCACTTAAGATGATATCTTTTGGGGTCCTATGTATTTTCCATTAATACTTAAGTGATTACATAAGATTTCATTATTTAATTATCTATGTTCACTTAACTAACTTCTTATTGCTCAGCATTTAGGATGTCTACAAATCTTTAGTTAAAAAGTATACTTCACTGTATATCCTGTTAACTAAGTCTCCATATAAATGCATAATTATTTCATTTAGCTACTCTTCTATAAATAGAAGTGCTAGGTTAAAAAAAAAAAAGACAAAAAAATTGCCAGGTTCTATTGATTAAAGTCTCACCAGATGTTAAGTAATTTTGTGTCTAGAATCAAGTTTTCACCAGGTGAATGCTTTAGTACTTAAAATACTCAAACACTAAGTCCTTGAAGTCAAAATTGTACTCATTATCTGATGGCAGGCAGGAGAAAACACACAATGTCATACTGACAGTGAAAGCAGATGGGGGACGAAGAACATACACAAAACTACTCTCCCAAGCAGTTATCTGGAACTTGTTATTCATTTTTCCTACAGGGAAAAAAATGGTTTTAAATGATAGTTTGGTTCCCAAACTAGTTTCTAAAAACCAAGCTAAGCAGTTATATATATATATGAATAGATGCCTATATATGTACATATATATAATTTAATTATAGTACTATTAATTTTAGTAGAAGTCTTGGCTGAACACCTTGGGAAGGGAAGAATAAAACTTTTTCCCACTTTTCTGGCTTCAGAAGGCAACCAATCAATAAAATGAAAAAATTTTACATTAACCCTGACACAAAAATCTATCAAATCTATCAAAATCTATCAAAACAATACCATTTTATATAGCTCTAAATATTAAGATGCTAGTAAATCAAATAAATAAGAGAGCAATCTACTAAGTTCCAGGGAGTTAGCAGTGCCTGTTCAATACTGGTTACTGATATCCTTACTAAACCACCATATCCAAGGAGCAAAACTTTCCATTAAAACATTTTGTACAAAAAAGGGCACTTGATAGAATATAACCCGTTTCTGGTTAACACTGAGTAAACTACAGAATTCTTATTTACTTGAACGTGTATTTCTGTATTTACAATTGGAATATTAGAATGGTAGCTACTTGGTTCCTCCTATTCAAAATGGGAAAATTGGCAAACATTTCTTCCAACTCTTTCTGCTCTGCTTTTGATAACCTAACTCTACTTAGTCAGCTTCTAGTGAGGTAAATTTCTGTCTTCTTTCGCATATGAAAATAGTTAAATTGTAAGGCAATTTATTATTTGAATAAAAAAAGAAATTTTGTTTTTTTTTGTTTTACAATATGGAGTTAGTTTTTTTCATTTATTATTTTTGAGGTAATATTAAGATGCCTTCATCAGGTATTGGCACCAAGATCACCTTCTCTTTCAAGAACTGAGACATTTTCATGGTTTTATAACCACGCTCACAACAATTATTTAGGTCTAATTCTATGTAATAATGGTTTGGAAGCTCAACATGACTCCTCTTACACTACAATTTACACATCTTTAGTTCTCTGTTTAAACACTAAAGCAGAGTTTTCATGATAGGCATGAGAGCTGTGCATCCTCAATGCTGACACACCCTGCGGTCTGGAATGTGGGTGGCCGCCTCCCTAGCTGTGAAAATAATAATAGCTTAGCCTCTTTTTATATTTTCTTGATTGTCTTAGTAAAGAGTGAGCACCAGAACTCTATGTTCAAATAAATATTTTGCCTCAAAACCTCTGTATAATTCTGGTGAAAATTCATGGTAGTAACTGACTGTACTTTGTAAATCAGACAAGCAGGAAATGGAAGAAACTAAGAACAATTTACTAATTGTTTACATTACAAATGACAATCAATCAAACTTGTAATTTTAATATTCTTAGGCTACCATACTACATGCTCACGGCATTCCTCTGAAGTCATTAACTCCTGGAACACAGAGAATATGACCGAGAATATGAAATTTCAAAATAATACACACAAAAAACTCTGACATTACCAAGTCATATAGATGGCCCATACACTATTGTGTGGCAAAACAGGGCTTCAAATTTGTCACAGCTCCATCAATGACACAAACACCCTTCCAACACATACCAAGATGGAAGCTTGACAAATGCTATGAAAGCACAGTAAACACATATAAAGTTATTTACTACTTAAATAACTTTCATTCCCAGGTTTAAACTAACAGGGAACAGGGCCTGGCCCTCTCTAAATCTTGCAGAATAAGAACATGTCACCTAAAAAGTAAACACTGGGGAATCATGAGTTAACAGAAGACTCTGTGAATCAAAACATATTTTTTCACCAACCCAGCTGAATCTAGAAGCACACCAAAATTCAATTTCATCAGGTGACAATGAGGAGCTAATTCAATGGGAATCCATATTCTTCTGCATTTCTCTCATTAAAATGGTGCCATAAAATTCTGAATCAGGAATTTAATGAAGGAATTCAGCGTCAGTTTGTTTGGTAAAACACCTTCACCCGGAAGGTAAGGTGCTGTCATGACATGTAGACATGAAATAATTTACCAGCATAGTTCTTCATATGCAGTAGCCAAAAAAAAAGAAACCCAAACCAGAAAATGGCTCAAGAATTACTAATATACATAGCAACATGAATGTACCTCAAAATAATTAGGATGAGCAAAAGAACAAGGGTAAAAAGGACCAGATACACTATTTTACATACGTGCAATTTTAGGGGCTTGGAACTAACCTGGAGTGGCTGCCTGGGGAGGGAACAGGGCAGAAAGAGGAGGGAGGGATTACAGAGGAGCGTGAGGAAACTTTTGGAGGTGATGGATTATCTTTATTGTTTTGATTACGATGATAACATTACATGAAAATGCTAAAATTCATCAAAATACACACATTTTATATTAACATTTTACATAAAACATTTCACAGAATATATACTACAATAAAGTTGAAAAATAAAGAAAAAATTTTACCAGTTTTTTTATTAGCCAGAATAATACATCTGTTCCATTTTTAAGTCATCATAGAGTCACCTTATTCCAACAATAGCTTGTTCACTGTTGAACTCAGTAAACCTTGTATATAAACTTAATAAGTGTCCAATAATAAATATTCAGCTGACAGGCAACTGAATATTTTTTGTCCCAAGAGAAAATACACAATATATACAAAGAAAACTGGTATCAAATGCCCTTCCTAGAGAAAAAAATTCTACGGGAAAAGATGAAAATAATTTAAACTCTTTAAATAGCTTTTAGTAAACTTGTAAGTGACAAGACGGTTCTATTGTTGTTCTGTCTTTATATGTAACTATTTCTTTTAGAAAATAAAAACAAAAGGCCTACTGTCTGCAGTACTGATTTAGCACTTCTGCCAACTAGCTCAAATGGTTTCCTTACCCCTGACAAACAAGACAAGTAGTACATTTATTGTCGCTTGCCCACTGTTGAGAAACACACATTTCACTAACTAAAGAAAACTCTTTCTCCAAAATCAGGCAATAGGCACTTTCACATAGCATCTTCCTTTTCTGTTTGATTGCAAGACCTAGATCATGTCTGTTCAGTCTCTGAATAAGTCACATCAAGAACTCACGTAACAGGATTAGTTCAAGAGAATTCGCACGTACTCCTGAGTGACAATTGGACTGCAAAAAGGTTTATTTTGTTGGCTCACCAGTTGTACTCTTGTTCCAAGGCAGTTCCACCATAAGTTCTAAGTAATTTCTTGTCAAAGCATATTCTGGCATTGACTGAGGCATTTTTTTGAGTCTACAGGGAAAGAACACACAACAGATATATTCACGATTACAGGAGGATTCCATAAACGCCAAAATGACCCAGCTTATCGCCCTTTGTTGGTCAGAAATACCACGCCTATTTGGTTAAACAAAATTTTTAAAAGCTAGTTAATAAAAACTTTTATATAAACTAAATTAGTAGATTAATTATTAACTCATTAAACAAAATTCAATATTTATATATTATATTAAATTTGCTATTAATGGAAACATTTTGTTAACTAAGTTTATACTAAAAACGTAGAAGCTGGAGAAAGGGCGGGGAACACTAGATCTGATTCTGTCTACTATACCGTCTTAGCAGTTATTAACACCTCCCAGGAGAGTCTTAATCACATCTGCACACTGGTTTGTGTCACACTAAGATTTAAGTGCCTAATCACTAACATGATTGCCATGTACGTTTTGGATGAGAGATGAAACCAGTTCATATATATAAGCTAACGTCAGATATTTAATAAAAAATACACCTTTTATAGCATAAGCAGCACTTAACAAAGTACATAGTTTGTTCTGCATTTACTAATTAAAGTTAGACTCAATATGAAATGCCCCTCAGCTATAGATGCTAATATGTTAACTGTGAAAGTTCAGTTTGTAGTTTTTGAACATTCAATTAGGTTTTTTATAGTTGAAAGAAAATGCAATATAGTTATAATGTCATAAATGTTACGATAAACCAGCTTTTATTTAACTGTGAGGTTATAATAATGCCCAATTCTAACACTTCTCTGTACTTTCTGAGAAACTGAGGGTCCCTGCTATGTCGAATTTACAATCGAAAGAAAACCGTGACATGAATCTGACATGAAAAACACAATGGTCACTGAACAAACATGTCGATACAAAGTTCAGTCCTTTTAAGATGATGAAAAGGCAGTAACAACAGTGATCGCAGCTGACTATACTGTGGGTAGAAGAGCTGAATCACCTATACTTGGCATTTTGAGAAAAAGACTCGTGAAAGTGGTGCTGTTTCAGGCATATTAAGAGTGTTTTAAGAATCAGACTTGGGTTATGGAAAAGTATTCCACAGTTCACAATCTAGCCTGAGCATCCGGAAAGCTGTGAAAAATATGAATGGAAAGAAAAGATGAACAGAGAGAATTATGACATTATATAAAAGAAGATCAAATAATAAATAAGTGACTAGCTTTTAGATATACAAAGCAGCAGATTCAGTTTCTGTGAACAACAATATTTAAGATTACTATGTAAAATAAAAACCGTAATGACCCAATGCCTTCTACAATTTACCTCTTTATCTCCTTGACACAGACTTTATGAGCCTGCTCTGGCATATTGGATGTTCGTATTTTTTTCTCTAACATGACAATGTCATCATTATCTTCATCCTCATCCTCATCTTCTAAAGTGCCTGGGATGTGTGTGATCCTCCTAATAGGGCGTATCGCTATAACCTAAAGTAGAAAATAGGAGAGGAAGTAAACTACAAACAAAGTACTTAGCTTCATGCAAAGTTATAATCAGCAGTGACATTCGATGGCTGGAGCCTAACTCTTTAGGAGCTAACGCTGAGAATCACACTAAGAAGCATGACCACATACGGCAGTGGGACCTAAAATGGCCCAGGGGAGATGACCGTGGCTTTGGTGTCTGCTTACACTGCAAAGGAGGGGGACTCACGGACTGGCCACTAGCCATAACACCACACCTACAACCTCCGCTGTGAGCCTCTGCCACAGTCACGCAGCCCCGTTTCCCTGACACACTGTACATACATCCGAAGAGGCTGAGCCTGCACTGCTGGATCATATACAGCACAGCAAGCGAATGTTACCTTGATGAAAACATGTAAAAAGGCTAAAAGTAAGTGAGATTTAAAAAAAAAAAAAAACCACTGATTTCACTGTTGAGACAGACCAATGTCCTTTTCTAAAGCAATTTTCCTACAGCTAGGAGAGCACTTTTCAGTGCTTAGGGGAACAGCAGAGATAGTTTTAGGCTAACTCCAAGTATGATCCTACGATCATCACCTTTTCTAGTCACTGTCACGTGTCGGATAATTTTCTAGGAGCAACGTTGAACAGCTTCCTGTTTAAGCAGTGACAACCTGTGTTGCTCTAAGCCGCAGCTTTCTGTCTCCCAATGCAGAGCACGCGCTGGCTCGTCTCCCACACAAAATAGTAACCTAGTTCATGATCTGATCACAAGTCAGAAACAGCGCACCGTGTTTGTGTGACACGGCAGATGTCCTAGGACAGCAGATACAGCCGCCTCCCTCCTTCCTCCTGTCCTCTGTCACTTCACTGCCCCTTGTTCAGCCCCACCAGGGAGCACCCTTCACTTGTGCTCCTCCCTCACCGTGTGTTCTCCGTCACGCAGGGCACTCACTGCTGATGGCCGTCCACTGAGGCCCCAGCATTGCCCTCAACTCTCTACTTTGGGCCCAGTAGCTTTCTAGCTCCCCAACTGCCTTCAGCCGGCAGCCATTTTCACTCTTGTCCACGTCAACTATTTCCCTGATCTTGATTCTGCCCAGATATAACAATAAAATCTACATTCTACTGCCTAAAGGTTAGGCAGATTTCAGAAAGATCCAACATCTTTATAATGTGATATACAATACTGAAGGTATCACAAGTCAACTAAATAAGGGAGGATTATTAAGTAACAGTGTTGAGTCAAATAAAAGGTTCTTGGTGGAAAAAGACAAGAGCTGTCTTCACTCACTGACAGGATAAAATAAATGACATATAGGCTAAAGAGTTAAAGACTTAAAAAAGGCAAGAAAAGGAAAACGAAAAGGGACGTGGGTATTTATCAAATCAATGGAGGATACAGGAAATTTAAGTGTAGAAGATAAGCAAAAACTAAGAGTCTGACTAAATGAAAATCAAACTTCTAAGATAACACTAAAAAAGCCAACCAAATCATGGCACAATATACTGGTACAGCCCTTTTGGGGAGTCACTTTCAGGTATGTCCCTAATACTCCATGCAATGTAAAAAGATGTTACACTCAAAGCCACTCACCACAGTTATTTGCCAACTTAAAAATGGAGAAAATGCTCACAACAGCAAAACTATTTGCATTTAAAAAGACCCCACGCATGGAAAAAAGTGAGGGAAATATATCAACATTCAAAATTTTATCAGGAATTTGAGTGGAAGAGATGAACTTTTTTTTAAAATTTATTTGTGCATACAGAACTGGGGCACAGGCCAGAGGCTCAGGGGTGGCGAGAGGCTTCACCAGAGACAGAGCGGGGAACAGAACAGGCAGATTGATGAAGTACACTGCTGAGGGGGGAAGCGGCGGGTCAGGAGAGGTCTGCCTCACCATGTGGTCACCTCCGGGGCAGGCAGGAATCGAACTCATGCGGAAGCGGCTTTAGATTTTTAGTGCTGTGCTTTTAACCCGCTGCGCCACCAGGGAGGGCCCGAGATGGACTTTTTCCCCCTATTTTTTTTTCCTTAAAAAAACAAACAAAAAAGCCAACCCATCCACAAAAAAACCTGACTCTCATATCACATAAAAATAACTGGGAAACTGAAGAAATGCGATTAATGCAGTATTTACCCGTTTATCATCATCTTGCTTGTGTTTTCTGGTTTTTTGAAGCAGTTTTAGGCCTTCAATTTGCCTGACAAGCAGTGGTATGGTCATCTTGAATCTTTCCTCCAGACTCACAGCATCTAAAATCTAAGGAAACATGTGAGTTAGTTAGCAGCATGTCTTTCAGACTAAAACAACCAAATTAACTGTATTAAATAGGCAAGGCCATCTGACAGGAATACCAGAATCCTGGGAGAGACAAAAAATTATCTTGAGTTTTCATTTAAAAATTAATCTGTACATATATATTGTTCCAACTTCAAGAACAAAACACACATTTTATATCAACTCTTTCTAGGAATTCTTCTAAAGTCCAGAATATAGCTATCTTACATATTAGGTCTAAACAAACTCTAAGTTTAAATATTAAAATTTTATATACATCAGTGAATAGAAGCACTCCTAACCAACCCCCCCCATTATCTGTCTGATTAACTAATGCTCTCCATTCTGTAAGACATGCTTATAAACGCTCACAGCCAAGTTGCTCCCTGATCTTCCTGCTCTCTTCTGCTCCTACCAGCTGAACTGAATTCTTATGCTTATACCCAACCTATTTACATTAGTTGCACTTGCTCTATTAGTTGGATTTAAGTAATAAACTGTTAATGAGCACCTAAATGTTCTAGGAAGATTCAATAAAGCAGGTTGCTTAGTGTGCAAGGCAAAGTGTGCAAGGCAACTCTGGTGGGCAAACACAAATTTATGATTCTAAACTGGCATTATTATTAGGTATCTTTAACTCTTAGTTTGCTGTAAAGTAACTGAAATTGTACATCACAGATAATGCACCATAGGCATGATTAAGGAACATCGTGAAGAAGACAAATAAACCAAGTCTGTACATAAGGTTAAGGTCACAGCTCTACAAACAGGGAGACAAAGTATATTTATATATTAAAGTAAAATCAAATATTTACCTTTTCTAGTATTCTCTCATTTAACCTTTCTCATAAGTACTAGTAGTGACTGCATGAAAAATTGAGTACAGAAAAATGTAAAACAATGACTTTAAAAAATATTTTAAATGTAAAGCATTTTAGCTACTTCTGTAAGTCTCCAGGACCTAATATCTCTTACCTGAAGTTCAAAATTTACCATTTAGATCCACATGAAAAGTTGACAGACCAACTTGATAGCATTCAAAATGGAAAAGGTGTACCTGGAGTTTCTCTTTGTTGCTTGTTCGGATAATTGATGTCAGAATATCCGGTAAAGCTTCCCTTGGAAGGCTATCTAAAAGACGTCTCAACTTGGCAACTGCAGGTACAGACATGTCCAACATTTCAACCAACTACAAGGAAAAAAGCCTTAAGTGAAATCCACATTATCTATGAATTAAAAGTTAGGTTTCCAAAATAGAGCTACAAAATTTGGGTCTCAAAGTCATTTCTAAAAGGCTGCCTGTCCGACCTAATACGAAGACTTTGTAAATTTGTGATCTTATTTTAATTTCATAAAAAAATTAAAGCTGTAGAAAGGCTACAACAGTACAATAAGCTCCTATCTCACCTTTCCCTACATTCACCAATTAACATTTCACCCACTCTCTCCACCCCCACAGACACATGCAATCACATGCGCATGCTCACTATTTATTGCTGCTGACACTTCAGAGTAGATTGCAGACATCCTGACCCTTGTTCTGAGTTAACATTCTCTTATATCATCACAGTGCAACTATCAAATTTGGGAAAGTGAACGCAGCTGATTCTTTTATGTTAACCAACTGAAATTTTTTGAGTAGAACATTTCGGTTCACTGTGTTTTTTTTTTTAAAAAAAGACTTATTTAATTACATACAGAACTGGAATACAGGCCAGAGGCACAGGGGTGGTGAGAGGCTTCCCCCGACACAGAATGGGCAGCAGATTGACGAAGTACACTGCTGAGGGGAGCAGCGGGTGACACAGGAGAGGTCTGCTGTGTCATGTGAATCACCTCCAGGGCTGGGGACTGAACTCGCACTGAAGTGGCTTTGGCTCGCTTGCAGTGCTGCGCTTTAACCCGCTGTATCACCTGGGAGGGCCCTGTAAGTAATTTTTATAAAAACAACTTCCTAGCTATATCAAGGATTGAAGACAGAGTAAGCGCAAGGCAAGTTTTCAGGAACTGTGACAGTCTTTGGGCCTTTAACAAAGATTCTACTTTTCTTCTGGGCACATGGTGAGATCATACTTTCTTACCTCCTCTGAGAATGTATGTAACTATGAGTTCTACCTTAGCCCTCAAAACATGACAAAGCAACAATTTCTTTTGCACAGAAGCACTAAAAACCACTGAGAAATACGCCACATTTCCTGTTCTGGTATGTTTCCAGCATACCAGAGGCAAGTTTTCAGATTAATCTCTTAATCTACTGGGTCCCTATGCATAGCTGATAGGCCAATCACCAAGCCTGCAAGTTTTAGGCAGAAAGCAGGTATAAGAACTACACCTTTTGTTATGTTATGTGACTGACTAGTTCACAAATGATGTTCCAAATTCTCATTTAGTCACTCAAGTAAGACTCACATGCCAGTAATAATCAAACCTCTTTAAAAGCACTGTAATTCAGGAACCTATCCATTACCTGGCTGGAGTCCAGGAAGTTAAATAAAGCATAATTATCACGAAGCTATTCAGGTGGGAAAAGTAGATATTAGAATTTGAGGATTCTCCCAAGAATTCATCCCAGTACATTATGACAGTTAAAATTCATTATCTAAGCATGTTGTGTACAAACCATCTGTTAGAAACAACAGACCACTCCATACAAGGTGGCAAAGGCAGGAATGAATTAAAGTATGGTAGGGGAAACAGACCTATAAAACAAATTTCACTTCAACATGATATTTGCATTCTATTAGCAGAAGGGGTTATGGAAGTCCAGGCAAAGGAGCAGTAAACGCTTACTGAAGATGGGGAAGCACAAACTGAACCTGATAATTCAGAGACGAGCATTCCCAGCAGAGAGAACAGAAGTAAGATCACAGACGTGATATAACAGTAAGTCAAGCTCTCTGATGTACAATGTGGCTGGAACTATGGAGTAACTAGAGTTCAGAAGGGCCTTAACGTTACTCTATGAAATCTGAATTTTATCCTAGAACCATTAAAGTATTTTACATAGGAGAGAAGCATGCCCAGAATTTTTAAAGAACAGTTCACAGAGAAGAAATTAGAACAAAATCAGTAGGAAACTAGTGAAGAAGTCTATTGATAAAGTATGTAGAAGTAGGTAAAAGCATTAACTGAAAAAACGTTAATGCCTAAAAAGAGGAATGATAAAATCATTACATTCCAACTCAATGAAATTACAGAAGTACTTAATCTGAAAATTGGGTGTGGCTATAAAAACAAAAAACTGAATATGGGCCAAGACCAGCAGACAAAACTCAAAGTAGCTGCATGAGGGTAGTAAAATTGATGGCGCTGTTTTTCTATAAAAATCCCTATAATGTCACTACAGAATCCCTACAAGTTTAAATGATTCTGTTGATTCAAAGTGGGGAGAAGTAAACAGAAAAGTTAAAGAAACTGTGAAGCTATATTCAACAGAGGGAAAAGACCCAGGGAATGCTACCCTCCCAAAGGAAGAAAAACTGCTTCCCTCGAGCTCCATTCCCAAATAACATGCACTTACTCCCATTCTCAAGCTCAAGCTCAACAGAGTAAGTTCTTCCTTTCAGCCCCCATAAAACTGTCACAGTTGCAAACTTCTATTTCTTTTGTAGGTGTCATCGCATGAGCACTGTGCCACCGCAAATGCTATGCCAGCTGCACCAGCACGGGCTTAGTGATCGGTGGTGTTTATAGTCAAGTCCTGTGGACAATACCTGATATTCACAGATCTGGTTATGGTCACTGGGTTACAGCAATAAAAAAAGTAGAAGACTATACTTTACAATGTATTCCAAGAAGGTTAGAAGTAGAGTGAGGTATAAAAAGGAGCTTTCTGTTTAATCAACAGTTAACCAACAATCCTTCACACCTAGAATTAAGGAGTTAAGACTTAATGCATGCCTAAAGTGTTTCCCTTCCAGTAGTAATTAATTACTCCAAGTTTTAACCATGCTGGAGTTACCACTGACTTACTATTCCATAGCTACAGTAGGGTGCAAGGTGAGCTGACTTCTGAACAGGATAAGGTCATCTGAATCCTAAATACTCTGGTGACAAACAGCTTCTGTGCACGCTCTTAAAATTTAACATTATTTAGGTTTAATTACCATATGGGCTAAAGACACCAGGAGTTAAATGGAAAACTCTAGAAATATTCTTTGGAAAAAATTTTAGAAAAGGATGGCTAATATGTCTTACAATGATTTAGGTACAATCCCAGACATAAGCAAGCTGAAATTATTAACTGATTTAAGCATATGCTGCCTTAAAAACGTCACTGTCCAACAAAATGCTCCTATTTTAGGGAAGCAAAGGGAGTAAGAGCAGTTTGGAGGAGGAACTAAAAGCAACTCACCTGCACTGCATATTTGTAAAACTGCTCCGAGAGCTCCCCTAGCTCCTCCCTTGTTTTACAGGTGTTGGGAAAGTCCTCCAGCCGGTCCAACTGCTCCACTTCAGCCACAGGGTACGGCTTCTCCTTCAAGACCTGCACAATCTGGAAGCGGCACAGGCCTGTAATCAGCAGAGTGTAGTGGGGCTTCGGCCAGTTGCTGCCCACCACCTGCACCGCCAGCGCAGCCGTCCCGATCCTGAGAAACACAAAGCCGAGACTCAGCGGGGTGAAGCGAGACATCTCAGAAAGTGTTGGCTTTTCTGAGGAATTCAGTAACAAACAAAAAAAAATATTGCTTTATATAATTTAGCATTTGAGTACACAGTCTTTTAAGTCACCATCATCAGCTATGGGCAAAGCATTAGCTGTATCATATAAGTATCAGTACCTCTTCTAGGAATTAGGTAGAAATTCTTTAACATCTGGATGACTTAAGCGTAAGAATTGAAAAGGAGTTGACAATTATTTAGCTTAAATTAATATTACCAATTAGTGAGGCAATGCTACACCAGAATAAATAATAGCATCTTAAGTAAGTTGAAATCTAAATAGTATGAGGTAAATCAACCAAAGAAATCTGTCTCAAGACCTGTTTTACTACTTACATCAAGTCAGGTTTTTTACATAATTAAGCTAGAAAACATCTACATATCCATCTTATCACAAACTTTCATCAACATCTGGGAATTAGCATCTACACCCTCCAACACTGATTTCCTAAATGTGGGGCTGAAGAGCAGACTATCTTATAGTTGTGTTTACGTGGTAATGACGCCACCTAGAACTAGTGGAAAAGGTAATTTTTATTTAAGTCTTAGCTCTTCATCAGCACATAATAATTCTGACCAAGTCACACATACACTAAAGACACAGAAAGGAAATCTCATCCAAACTAAGCCAGAGTTAAAGAGAAAACAGAAAAAGCAACATTCAGGAGACACTTCTAGACCCCAGCCTAGAAAGGTATTTTCTCTCCTCCAGCATAGGAGAGGCGGTCATCTGAGAAGAGCAGCACACATTAAAACAACTAGAACTCTCGGCACCCTGGCAATGCTAACACCAAGAACGCTGCCCTTGTCCATCCCAAACATTGGCCATCACAACTGCACTATGTGAATATTCCAGCGCATCTGCTTACAGCGTCCACGTTAGTGCTTGATCATATCCTTAGTATTCATTCAGCAGATTAGGAGTCAACTGTTGCCTTCCCTCTGCCACTTATTTTGAGCTATGTCCATCTTTTTTTAACCACCACATCATGTGAACTGGGTATAAAAGTGGATTTAAACAAAAAATTGGGAGGATAAACATCTTAAGGAGGAAAAACAAAACACATGAAAAGCTAGAGATGATTTAGCAACTGCTAGTATTATTATATTTTATATTATTATATTTTGAATTATTTGTGTTGTGGTTGCTTTTCTTTAGTCATTAAACAGTAGCATGTAATATCTCCCACTTCCTGGAAACCAATGCAGATTTAAATAGAAAATCAACAGTATCTAAATTAATGAGATCAACTGGGACTACAATTCATGGCAGACGGTATCCATCAATGTTGCCACGATGCAGAGTTCATAGTTTCTGCACGAAAAGTCAACAGATAAGAAACCGGATCCTTGGCCTAAAGGGTTTACAATCTGGAACCAAGGAGAAACCAGACAGGTGAGACAATCCCACCCTCCAAATGAGATGTTTCACAATTTGGGCTGTGTCACCAAGTAAAAGTGAGACTAAAAATGAGTTTCCTTACAAAGTAAATCAAGTACATATTGCTAACTGTAAGATGATGATGTTCCCAAACTTAAAAAAAAAAAAGGTTAAAGTCGATTTGTACTGTTCTCCAAATGAGACAAAATATGTAAAAATTTTAGAACTCAATTGGTTCTTGAAATCACAGTTGACTAGATCATATATATGTATTTTTTTAATTTTTAATTTTTTTTTATTAAAAAGTTTATTTTTACATCATTTTGCACATTTTTTTTTCATCTCAATTGTAATCCCCACGGGTTTCCCATCACCAAATCACCCCTGTGCCACCACCATAGTCCCGTGCAGATCATATATATTTTAACAAAAAACACCATCTAAGCTGATAAATGGCTACAAACAGTACTTAGTGGTAGTTTGTGTGCAGAGCTCTGTGAAGAAGGACCACGTTTAATGCTGTTTTAGTCAAGTTCTAGTACATTTTGGGCTCTTGATTTTAAACATATAAATATTGCAAAAACAAATTAACCTATACTTTACTTCTGACACACAATAAGCTTTATATCAAGTTAACCTTTCTAAATATTCCAGTTCTTCTACAAAGATGTGTTCTACTAGGTGTAGTCAAAAGGCAGCATTTTGATTCTGATTTACAAACCCAGATGAAACCCAGATGAATGATGTGCCTTTTAGGTAGCACCACTGAAAGCTATACCTGAATACTGTAATGTGTTAGATTACAGAATTTTCAAACTTCTAACTGGGATCGACCTTCAGAGTCACATCATTTTAACCAATCCAATGGCTATCCACACTGTGGCTGGGGGCAGGGGGTTGGTGAGGGGGAGATCTAAAAGTAGTGCTCCTGAGAAAAGCAGTTTTCTAAGATGAAAGTACTTATAACTAATATCTAAACTCATTTCTGTATGTCGAGTATTTAATTTTCTTTAAACTTTAACCCTTGCCCCAACTTTTTAAGACTCTTCAATCTTTCATGGTTTTTTGGAGTAATACTAGCTCAGTTCAGCCTTTACTGAAGGAATATGGGGCCTCCGAAAAACCTCTAGTTGTGACAGTTACACTTAAAACTGCCCTTTGGCAAAATAATAACAAACACAAAGGTTCACTGCTCTGCACTTAAAAAAAAAAAAAAAAAAAGGCTTTCACAAATATTATTTCAGTATAAACCACCGAGGAAAGTAACATTTATCTTTATCTTTGTTACAACTGAGGTTCAAAAAGGGTAAGCAAATCAGTTATCCCCAGTTATGATAAGAAATAGCATGAGGGGACCTGATCAGGTTTCATAACAAATTGTACTCTTTTCACCACAATGGATGATATAAATTTGCACCTGTGAGTATAAACACTAGCACAGCTTCTAAAACAGCCGAGATACTGATGTATCTATAGTTAACATCCAATGTCCACATCTTAATGACAATAGAAAAGCACTTTTACAAAAGCTTTGGAAAAAAGTAATTGAAGCAACTTCTTAGTTTTGTCTTGTCACCCTACTTATCTTCTGGAATATTTGATGATTTTTGGCAAAGTTTATACTATTAAAAATAGTTT